AAACTTTAATAATTTTTGAACAAATCAAATGTAAGAAATTCTGTGCGTTACCAATGATACCAAAAAAACTTAAAAATAAAAAATAATTAAAAAAAAACAACACAAAACGTGTCGAAAAGTTTAAGTATATAGAACCTTTTTCTCTCGAATAAGTCTTTTTTTTTTTTCTCGAATAAGTCTTTACTTTGATATTATATATTTACAAGTTATAATTTGTAATGAAGTTTTATTAACAGTTACTTATTTTTACAGTAAAATTATTATAATATTATTAAAGTAATGTGGTTTTTAAAAATGTTTAATAAAATAAAAATAAAGTAAGCAAGCATTAAATAAATATTGCTAACAAACTCTGAACATCGGTTTTTCTAGTAAGTTATCTAGTATGGGACCGTGTTTCCGCAAAAATATAATTAATTTTCAATGTCTAATGCTACTAAAATAATTACAAAGGGTCTGTTAATACCTCTTTTTTTTTTGTCATTTAGGTACTACAAGAAGTCCTTACGGTCTTATCACAAAGCACCGCGGGAGAGCATTTAACTGGAAGCTCACGCCTCCTTCTGTACCAATCTCGTTTGCTTGGTTGGATCAGGCGTCGCACCTCTGGGTTCTGAGCCAGAACTTTAATCACTGCGCCACGGCTGCATTTTCCTAATAATTGACATCTTCTATATTTGTTATATATATCAATGCCATGGCTGGTTGATAAGAGACCAAAACCTGTAATTAGGACCCCAAAATCTAAAAAAAAATTTTTGCTAGGTATTATTATTAAAAAAAAAAAGTTCCTGAAAGCCCTCCAATTGGAGCGTGTAGAGTAGTCTAGCCACGGTTCTGAGACATATATATATATATATATATATATATATATATATATATATATATATATATATATATATATATATATATATATATATATATATATATATATATATATATATATATATATATATATATATATTTATGTGGATAAAAGTACAACTTATTGTAATTCTATTGTATAAGAATGAAATATAAAATTGTTACATGTGAAGTTTTTCAAGGATCTATTTTAGGACATCTTCTATTTCTTATTTATAGTAACAATCTATGCAAAGCTTCCATCTTAATAACAATTATGTTTAACTGATGATTCTAGCATATTTCTCACTCATAATAACATTATGACTCTATAGAAAAATACAAATATTTCACAAGTCAAAATTTCTTAACAATTTAAACTATACAAATAACCATTAAATGATGATAAAGGTGAATGCATATTAAAAAAATAGTCAAACTTATATTGACTATTTTTCCGCTTATTCATTGTCATAACAAATATGCAAACAATGCTCTGGGTATCATAACTGGGTGAAGTGATACGGCGGGGTTAAATGAGATAAAATATACATATGATTAAAATGGTTTCAAAAGCATTCCCTCTGACACGGGACATGTAATTCAGTAAACATGTAACTACTTTTGCCTCTTTGCAAATATTAGTATAACAGTTGTTTTTTAACTTGCCATTTTCAGGCAGTCATAAAGACGTTTTTATTTCCTAACCCATAAAAGTCATTTTCTTCTGTGCATGCTAAAATTGTTTAAACTCTGTTAAAATGTACGTAGAATCATTATATAAAATGATCAGTTGATAAATTCTCATAATAAAATTTATTTTTTTCAAATTTTTAACTGGTTAGAGTGATACAGATATCTTATTCTGCCCCAATATAATTAATAATTTTTAATCCTCTAGAGTCTAAGCCGCTTAAGCCTCCTCGAATATAATACAACTTGGTCATTGAGGCATTTAAAACTCAAAACATGAGATATTGTGATGCAACAGATATTTTTAGTGTTGATAAATAAAGATTCGTTTATTAAGATTTAGAAAACATTGAAAGAAAAAAAATCAAGAGTTATATGGAGAAAAAATGAAAATTTAGGAAAGGGGGAGGAGTGTCCCCAGTCCCCCCGTTCTTGTTGGCCTTGATTTTTAATAGTTATTTTGATAATTTAGACAACATTCTTACATGTGTCTAGCTGTCAAGTTGATAAAACGGACGTAATAGATGACCCAGGACAAAATAATGCTATTTATTTTAACAACCTTTTGACTGCTTTTTTTATCATCCATTTATAGTGGAAGAAAAAAAAATATTGTTAAAACAAAAAATCCTAGGAAACTAAAAGAAACTTCTTAAAGATTCATTTACCACTTCTACCTAAACAGCTTCTCAATAAAATCAGACTAAATTCTGTAGCATATATATATTTCAGGGGTAAGCAGAATAGTTCAGTTTTGAAAAAACTTTTATGATAGCAACAGTGAAATTATCTTTTTTCGGTCTGCATTGACTCAATCACAATTGAACATCACAAGGAAAAGTATAACCATAAAACTCTTTAAGATTCCTTCGCATACTAACTATTTTTTAAATGAATTTGTGCTGGCAAAAGATAAGGAGTCATGTTAAAAAGATGATTAATCACGTTGCGTGTAATAAACAGCTGAATAAATAGTTTATTTTTATTTATTTTGATGTATCATACGAAATTGAGAAGCCTTTTCTTTTTTAATATATGTTTTCAGCCCAACCTCCCCCAACCTCCCCCAACCTTCGCGACCTTCCTACGCCACTGCCTACTCGTGTGCCCTCTTGATAATGGCTACGTATTCAACTTTTTAAATTTTAAGAAATGGTATTGAGCGTAAATAGAATTTTAATAAAATAATAATACTAATAATAAATAATAATTATTAGTAGTAATAATAATTTGATGTAATAATATATAGATGTTCAAGTTTGACATCAAAAGTTATAAATTCCCATGACCTCAAAAATGCAAATTCATTAAGTTTTGGATATTGTGATGAGTAATTAGTAAATTTTGATGAGCAATTAGTAAATTTTAATGAGTAATTACAGGCGCGGATGCAGCATTTTTTGATGTTTGAGATACCTAACTTCCAGACATGGAACAAACTTCAAAAATTTATATGTTTATATTTATATCAAATAAGGACGTTTTGCAAAAAATTGCAATGATTGGAGCCTGGGAACAAAAAAGCCCTAAAATTTTAGCTACACCTGCCCCAAACGTGAGAGCAACAAATTGATAAAATAATTTTTATACTATTCTTAACTAAATCTAAATTCATCGACAAATTTTAAAATTAACACAAAAATCTTTTAGCGTTCAAAAACTATAACCATAAAAGGTTTGAACCCCCCTCAATTTGAGGGGGTTGCAAACTTAATAAGGCTATAATTGTTGAACGCTAAGAGATTATTGAGTGAGTTTTAAAATTTGTCGATGAATATAAACTTGGTTGAGAATAGTAGAAAAAATATTTTATCAACTTGTTGCTCTCACGTTTGGGGCAGGTGTAGCTAAAATTTTAGGGCTTTTTTGTTCCCAGGCTCCAATCATTGCAATTTTTTGCAAAGCGTCTTTATTTGATATAACTATAAACATATAAAAATTTTTGGAGTTTGCTCCGTGTCTGGAAGTTAGGTATCTCAAATATCAAAAGATGCTGCATCCGCGCCTGAATTAGTAAAATTAAAACAAACATTTTAGGGACGTCGTGTTCTGAAAGGTTCTGCGATTATACTTTTAGTGTTTGTGTACTTGGCTCCATTTCTGATAAATATAATAGTCTCTTTACGTCCTCATTAAAGTATTTTTTTCCCATAAATAAACTTATTTTCTTGAATTTCAACCGAATTACTTAATATTAAATAGAAAAAGTTCATGCATTTTTTAACATTCTGAAAACAAGTTGGTGTAATTATTTACTGACAATAGTCTATAAATCTATGATATAGGCTGAACGATTTACGCTCACTTATCAAGATATATATATATATATATATATATATATATATATATATATATATATATATATATATATATATATATATATATATATATATATATATATATATATATATATATATATATATATATATATATATATATATATATATATATATATATACAGATATATATATATATATATATATATATATATATATATATATATGTGTATATATATATATATATGTATATATATATGTATATATATATGTATATATATATATATATATATATATATATATATATATATATATATTATATATATATATATATATATATATGTATATATATATATTTTCTGTCTTCAACAATTTGCATTCATTTATTTTTGACCTCTCTTAAAAACCATATATCTAATCCATTGGAAAAATTGTGTGTACTAAGGTTGCCTCTTTTTATCTTACTACTCATTTTTTTCTATTATTGATTCTATTCTATGATTCTATTCCTTATTATTATAAAGCGTTGGATCTTATAAATGATTACATTTTTCTTTTAGACAAAGTGCAAAAATAAAAAAATAAAACATTGCATCATAGTTACTCTCGAGTCCCTTATAAAAGGGAGGGGGGGCATTTATTAATTTTTGGAAAATTTTCCCACCCACCCCAAGCTTATTAAAACCCCCTGTTGGTTAATTTTTTACTTGTTAACAAAAAAATAAATAAAATCAGTGAAAAAGAGCTTTAAAATTAGAAAATAATTATTTCAGTCACTGATAAAAACAGTTTTTCAGTGTAAACAGGCTTTAAAACTCACCGACCAAGTAAATCACGATTTATTGAAAATCAGCTTTTAATTTATTTCTCATCAAAGTATAAAACTTATATCAACATATTAAATCGTATTGAAATTATTATAAAATCGCTGTTACAAAATGCGCATTTGACCGCAAGCCACGCTAGATTTAGATTTATTCTAACATAAAAAAATTCCCCCCTCTTTTTATTAAAATTCCCAGTTTATTAGATTTGGACTAAAATTTCCACCCTTTCCTTTTGTTCCCCCCCCCCTCCTTGTATTTAGGACTCGAGAGTAAACCTGCAGCTGAACTTAAATCTCTGTTTTGTTTTTGCATCTTTTTTTTAAATAAGTTTATTAAAACATGAATAATATATAATTGAAATTTATACTTTCTTGTTTAGAATATGTATATAGACTGTTAATGTATGATTTTATATGACAAAGTTCATAGAAAGTATTATGGTGTTACACAATATTTTAATCTTTATTATGAAGATATGGACATTAATTGGATGTTTACTTCGAAAAAATATGCGAGCAGTATGTTTTTTTTTTTAGTTTATATATAGCTAAATTTAATTGTATTTATTATTTAATTATTCATTTCAGAAAATTTTACTTCAAAACTCTGGTGTTATTGGTGCTAATAATATTTTTTTTTTTTTAATTTTACTAATTTTCTTTTATTTCAATCACTTTAAATTTTACTAATTCACTATGGAACAATTTTACAATGTAAGAGAGTTCCAAAGCATTGGTATGCAAGAATAAACAGGTTAAAATTAATTAAAGTTTTTAGCATGAAGAGCATGAAGTGACAGATGAAGTAAAAGGATATAGATTTTGTTGAATGATGATATTTAAGTGTGAAATAGTTTTGAAACTAGAGATGATAGCATATTTAAACAGCAACCTTGATAGTATTTGTAGAAAATAGAAAGAGACTTTACGACAACAGGAGAGTAGCCCTGGCAGATAAAGCAGGTCTAACAGCATTCACAATACATTTTTGGACCTTGTTTAAAAGAGATAAAGCATCATTAGAAAAACAGTCCAAGTATTACATTAGTACAGAAACAAATAAGAGATTTACAGCAGTATGTATCAGAAATAAGGAAATGTTTAGTGCGATAAAGAGAAGCAACTTTATCAGGTACTAACTTTGCAATTGATTTCCATGAGAGGTCAGTAGTGGATAATAGTCCAAGAAGACGTAAAGTGATAAAGTAGTAGTCAGTGAGAAGGTTACCATTTATCATTATAGGATATATGCAATATGTTAACAATATTGCAATAGTTGATTCAGGTAAATAACTTTTTGTTATTGAGTTTTGTTGTTAAGTTTTTTGTTGTTAAGTTAAAATTCACAATCAGGCTGTTACAGAAGAGAGATTAAATTCAAGATCAGCTGCCTATTCTAAACGATTGAAAAGAGTAAACCTTTTGTCAAGACAGGTGTTTAAAAATGAGTTGTCAGCAAATAGAGTTATTTTATATATAAGATTTTCAAGAAGATCAATTTTGTAGGTAAAAAATAATACAGGACCAATTATAGAAGCTTGCTTTTTATTGTCTCCTTAGATGGTTTTTTTTAAAATTTGTATTTCCAAGTTGATGATCATTGTATATTGATGCATCAGAATTAAATTTTCATTAAAACTAGTTTATATTGGATTGAAATGGGAACAAAGTTTTGTTTGGATTTAACTAATGCGCTGAAAAAATTATTTTTTTTAAAGAGATTTCAAACTCCCAACACATGTTGTGTTCATATTAAAGATAATGTTAAAAAAAAAGGTTTGAATCAAGTTTTTTTGATTAAAAATAAATAATGAATGCATACCGAGAAAAACTAATGTTGTTGTTTTAGCCGAAGCTCGCCTTCTCCATTTTTTTGAATAACTCGGAGTCTTTAAATTATACGTCGCAATCTACAGATTTTGGCGATTCCTTCGAAGCGCGTTTAATTCATAAAAGTTTTAGCATTTGACGTCACGGTAGATTTTTAACAAAAGAAAAGTGTAATTAAACAAAGCTGCGTTTTTCTATTTTAATTCAAAAAAAAAATTTTTTTACTTAAAGCAAAACAACTTTTACAACAAATTTTTGTAAAAATCAAAAATAATAAAAAGCTTTTTATTTCATAAGAGGAACTTTTTTTTTACCGATATCTTAATAATTTTTAGATTTATATATCTTACTTATATTTCTTTTGTTTTTAAATTAAAACAAATATTAAAGCTTTACTTACGAATCTTATGATTTTCATACGAGTGTTTTACATTATATAGAACGTTATGTATACGGTCTCTCGTTTTTGTGCAAGAGAGCGCAGTATGATATATTCTGAATCTTACTTATTTTTATTTAAACAAATGGGAACTTTTTTCTAACTTCTCTGGTTATTTTTACGCTATGATATTTTTTGTTCTCCCGTCGAAAAAAAGTATTAACAATTAATTTCATAAACTGACAGTATTAATTAGAGATATATGATGAATTGTTAACTTTATTTATTATAAATATTTTTGATTACGCTGATTTATTTTAAATTGCTAAATTTGCTAAATTGGATACGGATAAAAAGGAAATATCATTTTATTTTACATTTGATTTTTGATAATGAAACTTTTAAAATGTCGGCAACTCAATACCAATTAGAAGCTGTAAAGGTTATGAAAAAAAAAGTACAAAAATACACTAAACAATACAGTTGACAGTAGTATCAGATATGAAAATTCGTAAAAGGATATGTGAGATCTTGGTTTTGCATTAAAAGTACAATTAATAACAACACAAGTTGGCATTATAAATTATTATTATTAGTTTTAAGTAGATTATTAGTTTACTGTTCAATATTTTATAACCATCAAATAAAAATATGAAGTTTGTATATTTTCGCCGGTTTTATACAACTAATATTTAACAAAAATACGGACAAATTATTTTTATATAATGCAATAATTAACACATTAATTAATGGCAATAATTCAAGATAAATGGTAATTTAAATTGTCAAAATGTCATAACGCGCGTTAAAAAACTTATTATATTTGGTATTTCCCAATTTGTATCGTATTTGGCATTTGTCTCTTAACATGAAAAATTAAAAAAATTTTAAAACACAACAAATACAAATTTTCAAGCAATTTTCTCTTTCAATTTTTATTTATTCAAAGAAAAGTTACTATTAAACTTTTATTTCTCTCATCTAAAAAAAAAAAACGAGTGATGCAAAAATAAAAATAAAATATTCTATACAACTCTTTTATTCATTCGAAGTTTAATTACGCGAAACTTTTCTTTCTCTTTTGTTGTACTCTTTTATAAAAAGAGTGAGCGATAAAATAAAAACTTTTCTTTCTAAACATAAATTTATACTTAGAGATAAAATTAAATTAAAAATAAAGCAACAATGAGCAAAGCAACTAACAGATTAATCTGGGAGTATTTTGATATTAATGAAAATAATCAATATAAACAACATTACCAACAGCAATTATCAAAAAAACAACACAATATCGCATAATTTTAGGGGCTTTTTATTTTTATTGCTTAGTCGTTCTAAATAATAAGTAAATTTAGTTCAAGTTAATATTTTAATATTTACAGTTGCAATATAATAAAGAAATGATGCTTAATGTTGAACTTTTTATTTAATTATTTATTTTTTACCTACATATGTTATAAAAAAATTTTAAACCCCCGTCATTAAAATAATTTGTTTTGAATATATTTCAAAGTGATTATTCAAACTAATTTTTTTCGCTTGACTTCCCAAACTTCATGCAAAGCAAATTGAAAAGAAATATTATCTAACCAAATAAAAATGCTTATACTAATTTTATAAAGGTAATTAATATAAAACAATTTTTTATCAGAGTCTTGATTGAGATAATAAATATTCATAATTTATAAACATTAAATATATGGCGCAATAACAATTTATAGCAACGAACCAGCATAAAATATTTGAGGTTTTTAATATCTTTTTAAATGTAAAAAAAAAAACAAAAAAACTTAACAAATAATCAAAAAAAGTTCGAATAAAAATAAATAAAAATATTTCCAGAGTTTCATTTGTTAAAAGTCTACTGTGATATCAAATGCTAAAACTTTTATGAATTAATCGCACTTCAAAGGAATTGCCAAAGTCTGTAGATTGCGACGTATAATTTAAAGACTCAGAGTTATTGAAAAAAATGGAGAAGGCAAGCTTCGACTAAAACAACAATGTTAGTTTTTCTCGGTATGCATTCATTATTTATTTTAAATCAAAAAAACTTTGTTCAAACCTTTTTTTTTAACATTATTTTTAATATGAACACAACATGTGTCGGCAGTTTGGGATCCCTTTAAAGTTTCTTTATAATTAAATTAAGATTTAATTTTTTAAGATTTAATTTAATTTTTTTAGCGCCTTTTTAAAACGTATAAAAATTTTTAAAACAATTTAACAGCCATGGTCAAGTTAAGTAAAATCAAATAGTATTTGCGTGGTCATATTATGATGTGAAATCACACGCCTTCCTGGACAAGGCGTGTGATTTCACATCATAATATGACCAAGGCCTGGATAAGGAGATGGGAGAATAATTTTAGAATTTTGAAATGTCATTTCCTACAAAATAATATAATAAAAATTTGAAGCAATTTGCTGTACTACTTCACAAGATATCATGTTTTCAATAACACCATGTTTAACAAAAATCAAAAACAAAGAAAAACGCAAAAGAAGATTTGATAACAAAAAAAGTAAACTATAAAGTATGAAAAACTAATAAAATCCAGCAGAATAAGCTTGGCATGGTTCTAATTGAGCTTCCCTATCATTAAACCCTTTTTTTTGGTGGCGCAACTTCTGTCGTTGGGATTTTGCAGTAAGTGAAGACTTGATTGTACATTTTTTAATTCCGCATTTATCATGGTTAATCAATCCGATATGAGTAAAATGTCCAATACGTATTCCCAAATTTTTTAAAACATCAGTAATTCCATGGGTACCTTCATTAAAATTAATAATTTCAATAATACTTCTATTTACAAAAATATGTTTGAGGCATCGTTTCCAGATTATGACATTTAATGCTTCATTATTGTTTTGTGTAAGACCGTGTAGCCACTTTTTAAGTAGTTCTTCATTGCTTTAGAATACTTTTTATTGCTAATAGCAAGCTTAATTTGGGTTTATATGTTTTATGTCCACTTATATGGTCACGTTGCCATTTACACCAGCTGCCAATAGTTCGTGGGCAAAATTGATGAGGTATATTCATGTTTTTAATATCAGAGTTGTGAAAAAGCACTGCCCATACAGCCTTTTTCATTTGATATATAATACCTAAATTTTGTCTAATAGCAAATTCAAAATAATTTTGTAAAAGGTTAAGTGCTTTATCGGTTAACCTCCCTTTTCCTGCTACTGCTTTTCCATCACACAATTTTTTTTCACGTAGACGTTAACACAGTGCGCGACCACAACTTCCTATCTTTTTTTGGATGTGCCCAATACATTCTGCTTTTTTGATCTCTATATCTTT